AAGGGAAGGAAGGGAAAGAAGGGAAGAGAAGGAAAGAAGGAAATAAAGAAAGAGAAGGAAGGAATTAGAAGAAAAAGAAGAAAGGAAAGAAGGAAAGGAAAGAGAGGAAGGGAAAGAGAAGAAAGAAAGGGAAATATATCTATATCGACATCTATGTCTTTCTCCTCTTCGGGTAAGAGTGGGAAGGAAATAAAGGAAGAGAAGGAAGGAAAGAAAGAAAAGAAAGGGAGGAACGGAAAAAGAAGAAAGAAAGGAAAGAGAGGAAGGGAAAGATAAGAAAAACGGGAAGAGAAGGAAAAAAGGAAATAAAGAAAGAGGAATGAGAAGAAAAAGAAGAAAGGAAAGAAAGAAAAGTAAGAAAGGAACGGAAAAAGAAGAAAGACGGAAAGAAGGAAAGAGAAATGAATGAAAGAAAGGGAAAGATAAGAAAGACGGAAAGAGAAGGAAGGAATGAGAAGAAAAAGAAGAAAGGAAAGAAAGAAAAGAAAAAGAGGAACGGAAAAAGAAGAAAGACGGAAAGAGAAGGAAAGGAAGAAATGAAAGAAAGGGATAGATAAGAAAGAGGGAAAGAGAAGAAAAAGAAGAAAGGAAAGAAAGAAAGCAAGGAAAGAGAGAAAAGGGGAAAGAGAAGGGAAAAGAGAAAGAGGGGGAGAGAAAAAAGAAAGGAAAGAAGAAAGAGAGAAATAGAGAAGGGAAAGAGAGAGAAAGAAAGAAAGAAAGACAGAAAGAAAGAAAGAAAGAAGAAAAGAGAAGGAAAGAGAAAGAGGAAGGGAAGGGAAGGAAGGAAGGAAGAGAGGGAAGAAGGAAGGAAGGAAAGGGCAGGAAGGGAAAAAGAAAGGCAGGAAGGGAAAGAGAAAAAAAGGAAGGGAAGAGAAGAGAAGGAAGGGAATGAGAAGGAAAGAAAGAAAGGAAAGAGAGAAAGAAAGAAAGGAAGGGAAAGATAAGAAAGACGGAAAGAGAAGGAAAAGAAGAAAGGAAAGGAAGAAAGGAAAGAGAGGAAGGGAAAGAGAAGAAAGACAGAAAGAAGGAAAACGAGAAATGAAAGAAAGGAAGGGAAAGATAAAAAGACGGAAAGAGAAGGAAAGGAAGAAGGAAAGAAAGAAAGCAAGGAAAGAGAGAGGGAAAGACAGGAAAAGAAAGGAAAGGAAAGAAAAAAGGAAAGAGAAGGAAAGAAGGAAAGGAAAGAAAGAAAGGGAAAAATAAGTCGGAAAGAGAGAAAGAAAGAAAGAAACGAGTGGAAGGGAAAGAGAAAGAAGGAAGGGAAGAGAAGGAAGGAATGAGAAGGGAAGAAAGAAGGAAAAAAGGAAGGGAAGTGAAGAGAAGGAAGGAATGAGAAGGAAAGAAAGAAAGGAAAGAGAGAAAGGAAAGAAAGGAAGGGAAAGATAAGAAAGACGGAAAGAGAAGGAAAGAAGGGAAGAGAAGGAAAGGAAAGAAAGAAAGGAGAGAAAGGGAAAAAGAAGCCGGAAAGAGAGAAAGAAAGAATGAAAGGGAAAGAGAAAGGAAGAAGGAAGGAGAAGGGAAGAAGGAAAGGGGAGAGAGGAAAGGAAAAAAGGAAGGGAAGAGAAGGAAAGGAAGGAAAGAAAGGAGAGAAAGGGAAAAAGAAGCTGGAAAGAGAGAAAGAAAGAAAGGGAAAGAGAAAGAAAGAAGGAATTAGAAGGGAAGAAGGAAAGAGAAGAGAGGAAAGGAAAAAAGAACGGAAGGGAGGGAAAGAGAAAAAAGGAAGGGAAGAGAAGGAAAGGAAGGAAAGAAAGGAGAGAAAGGGAAAAAGAAGCTGGAAAGAGAGAGAAAGAAAGAAAGAAGGAAAGAGAAAGAAGAAGGAAGGAGAAGGGAAGAAGGAAAGGGAAGAGAGGAAAGGAAAAAAGAAAGGAAGGGAGGGAAAGAGAGAAAAAAAGGAAGGGAAGAGAAGGAAAGAAAGAAAAGAAAGAGGAAAAAAATACTTCTCCAAACCTCAAGTAAGCAGTTGAGCTTTGGAGAGGTTTTTTGTCTTTTCCAATTTTTTGTTTTCCAAGAGGAATGAGCCCGCACTTTGGAGGGAACTTCCTTCCCAAAATCCCCAAATTCCCAACCTAGATGGGGAATTCGTTAGAGGGGAAAGGCGTCGTTGGGAGGAACGCGTTCCGGAACTCGTTCCTTACCTTCCAAAGGGAATCCGGTCCTGGGGTAGTTCTGTCCTGGAGCTGGGCGCATCATCCTTGGTACAGTCCCAGGGAGAGAAGCCATGGAAGGAAGGAAGGAAGGAAGGAAGGAAAGGAGAGGAAGGGAAAGGGAAGCAGGTCGAGGAGAGCCTTCTCTTCCTGGGGGAGACTTTGGGGAAGAGGAAGAGGAGGAGGACCCCCCAAAAAGGAGAGACCTTTGGGGGGCAAAAGGAGCCCAAATGGGGAGCCCGGGCGTGCGTCCTGGAGGAATGCGCGCCGGAGTCTGAGCCGCTCGGAAGAAGAAGGTTGGACTTCTTGAACCTCCTCTTTTTCCTTTCCTTTCCCTCCTCCTCCTTCTCCTTCTCTTTCTCCTCCTCCTCCTCCTTCCCCTCTTCTCTTTGGTGTCCGTTTGTTGGTCCTTTTTTGGGGGGGGGGGGGGAAAGGGGGAGGAACGAGGAAAAGGGGAAGAGCCTCTCTCTGTGTGTGTGTGTCTCTTGGCAGCCCAAGGCGCAACTTTACGCATTGACTTCCAGCCTTGAGTAGCCTCACATTCAAAGGAAAGAGGGGCACCCAGGGACCCCACTCCCGACCCCAAGTCTCCCCCCTTTCCTCCCCTTTGGATATTCATGAGGAAAAGGTAGGCAACCAATGGGGAAAGGGAAGCTGTGTAGCTCTCCAAACTCTCCAACTGGCTTCTCTTTGGAGCTAGAAGGACAACAGAAGACCCCAAGACACCTCTCCAGGGCTCTCTGGTCACCACTGGCTTCTTGTTTGGAGATTCAAGACCCCAAGGGCTCTCTGGTCACGACTAGGATCTTGTTTGGAGATCTAAGACCCCAAAACACCTCTCCCATGGCTCTCTGGTCACCACTGGCTTCTTGTTTGGAGATCCAAGGGTAACATAAGACCCCAAAACACAAATGACATCTCACACATATCACAAAAAAGACCCCCAGACACCTCTCCAGGGCTCTCTGGCCACCACTAGCTTCTTGTTTGGAGATTCAAGACCCCAAGACACCTCTCCAGGGCTCTCTGGTCACCATTGGCTTCTTGTTTGGAGATCCTAGGGCAACATAAGACCCCAAAACACATATGACATCTCACACATATCACAAAATAAGACCCCAAGAGTCCTCTCCAGGGCTCTCTGGTCACCACTGGCTTCTTGTTTGGAGATCTAAGACCCCAAAACACCTCTCCCATGGCTCTCTGGTCACCACTGGCTTCTTGTTTGGAGATTCTAGGGCAACATAAGACCCCAAAACACATATGACATCTCACACATATCACAAAATAAGACCCCAAGACACCTCTCCAGGGCTCCCTGGTCACCACTGGCTTCTTGTTTGGAGATCCAAGACCCCAAAACACCTCTCCCATGGCTCTCTGGTCACCATTGGCTTCTTGTTTGGAGATCCTAGGGCAACATAAGACCCCAAAACACATATGACATCTCACACATATCACAAAATAAGACCCCAAGACTCCTCTCCAGGGCTCTCTGGTCACCACTGGCTTCTTGTTTGGAGATCCAAGGACAACATAAGACCCCAAACCACATATGGCATCTCACACATATCACAAAATAAGACCCCCATACTGCTCCCCAGGGCTCTCTAGTCACCACTGGCTTCTTAATCCAAGATCCCAAAACACCTCTCCAGGGCTCTCTGGTCACCACTAGCTTCTTGTTTGGAGATCCAAGGGTAACATAAGACCCCAAAACACATATGACATCTCACACATATCACAAAAAAGACCCCCAGACACCTCTCCAGGGCTCTCAGGTCACCACTGGCTTCTATTTGGAGATCTAAGACCCCAAAACACCTCTCCAGGGCTCTCTTGTCACTACTGGCTTTTATCTGGAGATTCAAGACCCCAAGACACCTCTCCAGGGCTCTCCGGTCACCACTGGCTTCTTGTTTGGAGTTTCAAGACCCCAAAACTCCCCTCCAGGGCTCTCTGGTCACCACTAGCTTCTTGTTTGGAGATATAAGACCCCAAAACACTTCTCCAGGGCTCTCTAGTCAGCACTAGCTTCTTGTTTGGAGATCCAAGACCCCAAAACACGTCTCCCATGGCTCTCTGGTCACCATTGGCTTGTTGTTTGGAGATCCAAGAGCAACATAAGACCCCAAAACACATATGACATCTCACACATATCACAAAATAAGACCCCAAAACACCTCTCCAGGGCTCTCTGGCCACCACTAGCTTCTTGTTTGGAGATCCAAGACCCCAAAACACGTCTCCCATGGCTCTCTGGTCACCATTGGCTTGTTGTTTGGAGATCCAAGAGCAACATAAGACCCCAAAACACATATGACATCTCACACATATCACAAAATAAGACCCCAAAACACCTCTCCAGGGCTCTCTGGCCACCACTAGCTTCTTGTTTGGAGATTCAAGACCCCAAGACACCTCTCCAGGGTTCTCTGGTCACCACTGGCTTCTTGTTTGGAGTTTCAAGACCCCAAAACACATCTCCAGGGCTCTCTGGTCACCACTAGCTTCTTGTTTGGAGATTCAAGACCCCAAAACACATCTCCAGGGCTCTCTGGTCACCACTGGCTTCTTGTTTGGAGCTCCAAGACCCCAAGACACCTCTTCAGTCTCTCTGGTCACTACTGGCTTCTTGTTTGGAGATCCAAGACTCCAAGACACCTCTCCAGGGCTTTCAGGTCGCTACACCAAACGTAAGACCCCAATACACCGCTCCAGGGCTCTCTGGTTACTACTGGCTCCTCTTTTGGAGCTCCAAGACCCCCAAGACACCTCTCCAGGTTTTTCTGGTCACTACACCAAACATAAGACCCCAAGACATCTCTCCAGGGCTATCTGGTCAGTACTGGCTTCTCTTTTGGAGCTCCAAGACCCCAAGACACCTCTCCAGGGCTCTCTGGTCACTACTGACTTCTTGTCTGGAGTTCCAAGGACAGCATAAGACCCCAAGACACCTGTTCAAGGTAATCTGGTCACTACAACAAGGAAGGCTTCTATCTGCTTCTCTCTTGGAGCTCCAAGGCCAACAGAAGACCCCCAGCACTCCTCTCCAAGACTCTCTGGTCACTACACTAAGGAAGACTTCTCTTTTGGAGGTCCAAGGACGACATAAAACCCCAAAACACCTCTCCAGGGCTCTCTGGTTACTACTGGCTTCTCTTTTGGAGCTCCAAGACCCCAAGACACCTCTCCAGGGCTCTCTGGTCACTACATCAAGGAAAGCTTCCCTTTTGAAGCTCAAAGGACACCCCTCCAGGACTCTCCAGTAACTACTGTCTTCTTTTGTGGAACGCCAAGTCCCCAAGACACCTCTCCAGGGCTCTCTGGTCACTACTGGCTTCTTGTTTGGAGATCCAAGACCCCAATACACCCCTCCAGGGCTCTCTGGTTACTACTGGCTTGTCGTTTGGAGCTCCAAGACCCCCAAGACACCTCTCCAGGTTTCTCTGGTCACTACACCAAGCATAAGACCCCAAGACACCTCTCCAAGGCTCTCTGGTCACTACTGGCTTCTCTTTCGGAGCTCCAAGACACCTCTCCAGGGCTCTCTGGTCACTACTGGCTTCTCTTTTGGAGCTCCAAGACCCCAAGACACCTCCAGGGCTCTCTGGTCACAACACCAAGGAAGGCTTCTCTTTTGGAGCTCCAAGACCCCAAGACACCTCTCCAGGGCTCTCTGGTCACTACTGACTTCTTGTTTGGAGATCCAAGGACAGCATAAGACCCCAAGACACCTCTTCAAGGTAATCTGGTCACTACACCAAGGAAGGCTTCTATCTGTTTCTCTTATGGAGCTCCAAGGCCAATAGAAGATCCCCAGCACTCTTCTCCAAGGCTCTCTGGTCACTACACCAAGCAAGGCTTCTCTTCTGGAGCTCCAAAGACAACACAAGACTCCAAGACACCTCTCCAAGGCTCTCTGGTCACTACTGGCTTCTCTTTTGGAGCTCCAAGACCCCAAGACACCTCTCCAGGGCTCTCTGGTCACAACACCAAGGAAAGCTTCTCTTTTGGAGCTCCAAGACCCCGACACCTCTCCAGGGCTCTCTGGTCACTACTGACTTCTTGTTTGGAGATCCAAGGACAGCATAAGACCCCAAGACACCTCTTCAAGGTAATCTGGTCACTACACCAAGGAAGGCTTCTATCTGTTTCTCTTTTGGAGCTCCAAGGCCAGTAGAAGATCCCCAGCACTCTTCTCCAAGGCTCTCTGGTCACTACACCAAGCAAGGCTTCTCTTCTGGAGCTCCAAAGACAACACAAGACTCCAAGACACCTCTCCAGGGCTCTCTGGTCACTACACCAAGGAAGATTTCTCTTTTGGAGGTCTAAGTCTTATGTTGATAAGACCCCAAAACACCTCTCCGGGGCTTTCTGGTCACTACTGGGTTCTCTCTCAAGGATAGCACAAGTCCCCAAGACACCTCGCCAGGGCTCTCTGGTCACAACACCAAGGAAGGCTTCTCTTTTGGAGCTCCAAGACCCCAAGACACCTCTCCAGGGCTCTCTGGTCACTACTGACTTCTTGTTTGGAGTTCCAAGGACAGCATAAGACCCCAAGACACCTCTTCAAGGTAATCTGGTCACTACACCAAGGAAGGCTTCTATCTGCTTCTCTCTTGGAGCTCCAAGGCCAACAGAAGACCCCCAGCACTCCTCTCCAAGACTCTCTGGTCACTACACTAAGGAAGACTTCTCTTTTGGAGGTCCAAGGACGACATAAAACCCCAAAACACCTCTCCAGGGCTCTCTGGTTACTACTGGCTTCTCTTTTGGAGCTCCAAGACCCCAAGACACCTCTCCAGGGCTCTCTGGTCACTACATCAAGGAAAGCTTCCCTTTTGAAGCTCAAAGGACACCCCTCCAGGACTCTCCAGTAACTACTGTCTTCTTTTGTGGAACGCCAAGTCCCCAAGACACCTCTCCAGGGCTCTCTGGTCACTACTGGCTTCTTGTTTGGAGATCCAAGACCCCAATACACCCCTCCAGGGCTCTCTGGTTACTACTGGCTTGTCGTTTGGAGCTCCAAGACCCCCAAGACACCTCTCCAGGTTTCTCTGGTCACTACACCAAGCATAAGACCCCAAGACACTCTCCAGGGCTCTCTGGTCACTACACCAAGGAAGGCTTCTCTTTTGGAGCTCCAAGACCCCAAGACACCTCTCCAGGGCTCTCTGGTCACTACTGGCTTCTTGTTTGGCGGTCCAAGGACAACATGACACCCCAAGACACCTTTCCAGGACTCTCTGGTTACAACACCAAGGAAGGCTTCTCTTTTGGAGCTCCAAGGACAACACAAGACCCCAAGACACCTCTCCAGGGCTCTCTGGTCACTACTGACTTCTTGTTTGGA